TGGATGCTCAGTTGAGTGATTCCGAGATCGAAGAAGCAGTCAGACTTTCTCACTGTCCCCCACCAACCCACCACACAACTCTCCCCTCTTCCCCGCCTAGCACAACCCTCAAACACTCTCGTCTCCCCTGCACCAATCACTACACCCTCCTCTCCCTCCCTCCCACCCGAGGGGGTCCTCACTCACAGAACCTGGAGAGAGACTAGCCCCCGCTAGTTGTAGCCGTCTTGGCGGGATTAACTACGCCCCTCTACCATTCCTTCAAGGTTTGAGCCCCTGTGACGGCTGTATATATGTTACTAGATTTCCACGGTGTCATATACTTTTGTGCTATTTTTTCTTGCTAAATTGATATTGTAACCTATGGTAGTGCACACTGTTATGTACCCTTGACAACTTTGTCCTGTCAATCTGTCATAATCTTTGGTGGAAGCAATGTTCCCGGTGCATTTTGAAGCTCTTTTGAGTGATTGCTTCTGCAGTGTTCCCTCTCCCCTTTCCTGACAAGCTAAATTTTTTCCCCTGAAGCCCGTTCTGTTACTGTCCGAGTGATTTTTCTGTTGTTTTTTCGCACAGGGGGCTATGCCATTTTCGTGGTTGAGCTGGCGACTGGAGCAGCGCGAGAGGGCGGATGGAGACGAGCGAGGCTTTGAGACAGCTCCAGACCAACCTGTACACAAACCCGGTAAATACTGGTTTCCCACCCATTATTTCACACCCCATTTTGTTTTCTCCGCTTGTCTTTGATAGTTTCTGGAATCAGAGAAACTACTGCTTCCATTAGAGTGATTGTAGCCCTAACTTTTACTTTTGGTTGTTTTTTTCATCTTACAAATGATTATTTTCCTCTTTTACATAACGTAGGATATTCTGAACATAGCAACGCGGGAGATGCAAGCCATGGGCTGCAAAGTTCTTGCACTTAGTAAAATTTTCACGGAATCCTCTCCTGAAATAAGACACCCCACTAATATGGACATTAATTATTCTGTCGCCTTGGTGTATGGATAACCACACACACTTCCTTTCTCTCTCGTCTCTGCTTGTTCTTTATCCTGCAGGGGTCATTGTCCCCCGGTTCAGGGTTAGCTTGTAAACGAAATTAGAGACGAAGTGGCTTCTCTGAAAGGACTCTACGCACAGGTCTGGTTTCTTAGGCATCACATTTTAGCAGGAGTAATATTAAAATCTATCTTTCCGCGAGCATTCATTGAGACCTTTGCAACCACCACTGTTAACGATTGCACTGCATTCTCAAGCTATAGTCATTTTTCAGGATGGTTTATGTGGCCTGTCCTTCCCCACTCAGTGGTACTAACATAAGGTTATTCATATATAGGATGAAAAACATGTTTTAGTCATCTAGCTCAGAGGAAAAGAAGAACCTCCCCCACCCAAGCACACAAAACACAGACAATACATACCCCCAAGCGTACAAAACACAGACAATAACATTAAACAGAAGAAAGAGGCAGGGAACCCTGGGTGCCCAGCCTTGAGAAGCCGGGGCGTAGGTTTAAAGATTCTTTTATGGCCCAACTCTCTCCCTACACACCCCAGTGTCGCCAACCCCCTCCCTACACTAGTTATAAAATAAATAGATAGAAATCATGTACAAAAAACGACGGCTACAGATAAAAACAACAGCCGTTAAGAAAAATAGAAAGCCTCAAAGGACATAAACTCATAGAAAAATATAAAACTACTGAACGTCACGCAGCAGCATCGACGACACGACGGCAGCACTAAAAAACGTGCGATTATTCTAAATACTACGCACATGCATATACATACCCGTGCTAAGAAAAATAGAAAAATAGAACCCCTAAACCTAAGATTATAGTTCTGCGTCGCTTAGCTCTTTACATAACCACGGCATCTACACGTGTAAGAAAAATATAAATAATATAAATAATAGTAGAAATGGTAGAATGCAATTGTAAAAATAGATTATTACAAAATAATTGTGAACTAATAAATATATATTCTATCTGGGCTACACCTGGCGACTGAGGAATCTATCCAGTTGCTGGGCAGACATATACCTCCTCCACATGGTTGCGTATCCGTACTATATTATCTAATTTGTGCGTGCTTTTAGCAAACTTTAAAAGGACCTGCACAAAAGCAGATTATCTGTCTCCTGATGAATCATGTCGCTCCGTTATTTTGAAATGTCTCAACGTAAAATCCGAGTATCACTCATATTCCTACCTATACGTACTAATATTGGAAATATAAACTTCCCGTATCTGGTCCAGATGGAAATTGGAACTTAGATATGGAAACAATTTACAATTTGACGTTCAATATCCCGTTTATCATATACTACTGCCGTGGAATATTTCCCATTTGTTATAGTTATATGTATATCTAAGTATGAACATGTTGTTGGTGCATTCCAGATTTCTTTTTTAGTTCAAGCTCCGCTGGGATTCTCTCTCCCCTACCTTCCCATACTCACATTTTTAGATGTTCCACTCTCTCTCTTCTTTAGTGTCAAGCTGCTTCTTCTGTTATAATTTTTCTGAGTTTGTAGACATCATTTTCCCACTCGACCACTAGTCCCACACCCAGCTAAGGAATACCGGCAATGGGCAACGGAGCACACACAACACACCGGATCACCAAACAGTATATAGTTGGGGACACAAAGACAGAGAGCAAAAAGTACTTGTAACGTGGGAGGTTAGTAGGGAGGAGGGGAAGGTGAAGGTGTGAAGGAGGCAGAAAAACAGTTGAGTAAAATCGAAAGAGGATGTAAACTCGATTCAACTTCAGGACAGTTGCAGTACTTGCTTTATTGGAGCTAACAGTTTTTCAAACAGCAGTAGTACTATTTCATGGGGTAATATTGTTGCAGTCCCCAACATAATGTACACCCTTCGCGCTCACAGGAAGCAAGGAGCACGTTTGACCTTTGATGAAAGGTTTATTTTCCCTCGCACTCGCGCACGTGATCTGCGAGTATATATATATTATACTCGCACTTGCCACGCCCCCTCGTGCGAGCAGCCGGCCCAGGCAAGAGAAAAGCAACAGAATGACGAAACGTAGACCCGGCAAGAGTGAGGCTGGGCCGCATCAGGTGCCTCGTGGAAGCAGTGGGCGCCATGCGCCGCGGAGACCCGCTACCAGGCCCCGCTATGCTTCGTTCCAAAGGAAAATACACTTCGAACTGGAGGCAGACGAGCCATTCTCCGTGTACGAGGAGTCACAGACAGATTCAAAGGTGGTGGGTCGGCTCCAGCAAAAGAAGACGCATAGACTCGTGTGCGCGGGACTCCCGTCTTTCAACGCAGCTGGCGGCTGGTCGAAGATGACGTCACCGCTTGTAGGTTGGGCACTTCTCCAGCCAATGAAGACGGCGTTGAAGGGGAAGCTGAAGAGTGTCGGGAAAGGGGAGGAGGGGGGAAAATGGGGGAGGGAACAATGGCGGGGGGAAAGAGGGGGGTCGTGGAATGATTTACAACTGGTTGAGAGCTGTTGAGCTTATGTGCCCCCTTCAAATTGTGAGTGTCCCGTCATTAAAGAACCAGGACGAGGATGCCATGGCAACGCTGCAGACCCCGCCCCCCGGCTGGAACATGGAGGCCGACGAGGAACTAGCTCAGTTTCTCGTCACCAAATGGGGCGGAGTCGAGGTCAGGCGGAGTCAGCGGGCGGGGGAAGGGGCGGGAACACTTTGTCGATATAACCGTCTCATCGGAGGAATCCGAAGTCGACAACATTTTGGACCCTGACCCCGAGGTGTACTGGGAATCGGACGGTAGTGCAGGGCAACACTGGGTCCGGTTTACGCTCGTCCCCGGCACAATCATCGAGCGATTCGCCTCATCGTCGATTCGGAAGACGGGAGCTACTTACCTCGTCGAGTCGTCGTCAAGGCAGGGTCCTCCCCGAGCACCGTCACGATGATCCACGCCCACAGTTTTGGTCTCTCTGACTACGAGAAGAAAGAGCTGCAACTTTTCCCCCCGTCCCACTCCAAGAGTTCAAGGAAGTGGTCGAGGTCCACTTCAAGTCGTGCTACAGGGAGGATCGACGTTCGAATTCGAGGAGTTTCACTCACATCAAAAGACCGCAGAGAGCATATTTCTACCCTCTGAAACGGTCCCGCGAGACATTTTCACGGAGGACAGGGTGTCCCGCTGCCCAAAAATTGGCAGGGGTTTGAAGCAGGTCAGTTGTTTCACCGTGGACTGGTGCTAAGTAGATTGGCATACATACTCGATCAGGATCTAACGTATCTCCTACCGAGCTGGGAGGTGGGGTTGGAGGGGGCAAAGTCGGAGGTCACCGAGGCAGTTTCGGCAATCCGACAGCTGTGGCCGATGAGTCGACGACGTAATGCTCTCATAAGCGACATGTTGAGCGCCACGGCGACGTCGGCTCCGAGCCGGCCGACTGTGTACATCGATCGGATGTCAGCGAAAAGGCACCAGGAGAATCCTTCAGAGGACAAGGAGGGAAAGAGAACCGTCTTCATACAGCTTTCAGAGAGAGCTTAAGAAACATACAAAGGTATATGCAGGAGAGGGAGTGAAGAGAGTGAGAGAGTTCGTAACTTGCAAATCAAGGTTTTTTTGAGCGACTTGTACACACGGTTAATGTTTAGATGGTTTTTGGACTGAGAAAGGAAAGTGAAATGAACCCCTTGAAAATGGCCTTGTATATTTGTTCCTCTAAAGACACTCTCTCTGCTTACACACACACACACACACACACACACACACTGTAATGCAGGAATCAAACTACAACTTTCGGTGGGCGGGACAGTGGAGTCAGTGGTGGGAGAGCAAGTTTGCTCAGGAGGGGATGATCGATCAGGGAGGCGGTTTCCGAGATGTCCTCTCAGATGTAGCCGAGGAGCTCTGTCCCGAGTTCACCCGACGCTCGCCGTCCCTCTCCCCCTCTTCATCCCGCTCGCCAAAACCAGAACCAGGACTCGTCAAAACGCGTATCGCGACAACTACATCCCCAATCCAAAGTGCGACGATTTCTCACGCTACGTATTCGCCGGGCAGTTGAATGGGTGCCATGCTACGCAGTCCAGGAACACCTTGTCCTCTCGCTCCTCAGTTTCTCTCTGGAAGGAGCTGGTCGGCGAACCGGTGACTTGGTCCGCGAGATTTTCGTGAGTGTCCGATTCAGCGGAGGTGAAGGTTTATTGAATCCGTGGAGACTATTAGTCGGGAGAGGTTCGACGACGCCTTCGCTGGAGCCCTCAGGTTTTGTTTAGTTTACTACAGAGTTTACTGATAGTTTGGTACTAGAGAATACTGAGAATACTCAGAATTTACTGACAGTTTACTAGGTGTACAGAATAGGATACTGGCCTCCTTTACAGAGAGGTTTTCTATATACATTCAGTGTCCATATCCATAGTCAACTCTCAGTAAATTCTCAGTATCCTATTCTGTACACCTAGTAAACTGTCAGTAAATTCTGAGTATTCTCAGTATTCTCTAGTACCAAACTATCAGTAAACTCTGTAGTAAACTAAACAAACCTGAGGGCTCCAGCGAAGGCGTCGTCGAACCTCTCCCGACTAATAGTCTCCACGGATTCAATAAACCTCACCTCCGCTGAATCGACACTCACGAAATCTCGCGACCAAGTCACCGGTTCGCCGACCAGCTCCTTCCAGAGAAACTGAGGGAGCGAGAGGACAAGGTGTTCCTGACTGCGTAGCATGGCACCCATCAACTGCCCGGCGAATACGTAGCGTGAGAAATCGTCGCACTTTGGATTGGGGATGTAGTTGTCGCGATACGCGTTTGACGAGTCCTGGTTCTGGTTTGGCGAGCGGATGAAGAGGGGGAGAGGGACGGGAGCGTCGGGTGAACTCGGACAGAGCTCCTCGGCTACATCTGAGAGGACATCTCGGAAACCGCCTCCCTGATCGATCATCCCCTCCTGAGCAAACTTGCTCTCCCACCACTGACTCCACTGTCCCGCCCACCGAAAGTTGTAGTTTGATTCCTGCATTACAGTGTGTGTGTGTGTGTGTGTGTGTGTGTGTAAGCAGAGAGAGTGTCTTTAGAGGAACAAATATACAAGGCCATTTTCAAGGGGTTCATTTCACTTTCCTTTCTCAGTCCAAAACCATCTAAACATTAACCGTGTGTACAAGTCGCTCAAAAAAACCTTGATTTGCAAGTTACGAACTCTCTCACTCTCTCACTCCCTCTCCTGCATATACCTTTGTATGTTTCTTAAGCTCTCTCTGAAGCTGTATGAAGACGGTTCTCTTTCCCTCCTTGTCCTCTGAAGGATTCTCCTGGTGCCTTTTCGCTGACATCCGATCGATGTACACAGTCGGCCGGCTCGGAGCCGACGTCGCCGTGGCGCTCAACATGTCGCTTATGAGAGCATTACGTCGTCGACTCATCGGCCACAGCTGTCGGATTGCCGAAACTGCCTCGGTGACCTCCGACTTTGCCCCCTCCAACCCCACCTCCCAGCTCGGTAGGAGATACGTTAGATCCTGATCGAGTATGTATGCCAATCTACTTAGCACCAGTCCACGGTGAAACAACTGACCTGCTTCAAACCCCTGCAATTTTGGGCAGCGGGACACCCTGTCCTCCGTGAAAATGTCTCGCGGGACCGTTTCAGAGGGTAGAAATATGCTCTCTGCGGTCTTTGATGTGAGTGAAACTCCTCGAATTCGAACGTCGATTCCTCCCTGGTAGCACGACTTGAAGTGGACCTCGACCACTTCCTTGAACTCTTGGAGTGGGACGGGGAAAAGTTGCAGCTCTTTCTTCTCGTAGTCAGAGAGACCAAAACTGTGGGCGTGGATCATCGTGACGGTGCTCGGGGAGGACCCTGCCTTGACGACGACTCGACGAGGTAAGTAGCTCCCGTCTTCCGAATCGACGATGAGGGCGAATCGCTCGATGATTGTGCCGGGGACGAGCGTAAACCGGACCCAGTGTTGCCCTGCACTACCGTCCGATTCCCAGTACACCTCGGGGTCAGGGTCCAAAATGTTGTCGACTTCGGATTCCTCCGATGAGACGGTTATATCGACAAAGTGTTCCCGCCCCTTCCCCCGCCCGCTGACTCCGCCTGACCTCGACTCCGCCCCATTGGTGACGAGAAACTGAGCTAGTTCCTCGTCGGCCTCCATGTTCCAGCCGGGGGGCGGGGTCTGCAGCGTTGCCATGGCATCCTCGTCCTGGTTCTTTAATGACGGGACACTCACAATTTGAAGGGGGCACATAAGCTCAACAGCTCTCAACCAGTTGTAAATCATTCCACGACCCCCCTCTTTCCCCCCGCCATTGTTCCCTCCCCCATTCCCCCCTTCCTCCCCTTTCCCGACACTCTTCAGCTTCCCCTTCAACGCCGTCTTCATTGGCTGGAGAAGTGCCCAACCTACAAGCGGTGACGTCATCTTCGACCAGCCGCCAGCTGCGTTGAAAGACGGGAGTCCCGCGCACACGAGTCTATGCGTCTTCTTTTGCTGGAGCCGACCCACCACCTTTGAATCTGTCTGTGACTCCTCGTACACGGAGAATGGCTCGTCTGCCTCCAGTTCGAAGTGTATTTCCTTTGGAACGAAGCATAGCGGGCCCGGTAGCGGGTCTCCGCGGCGCATGGCGCCCACTGCTTCCACGAGGCACCTGATGCGGCCCAGCCTCACTCTTGCCGGGTCTACGTTCGTCATTTCTGTTGCTTTTCTCTTGCCTGGCCGGCTGCTCGCACGAGGGGGCGTGGCAAGTGCGAGTATAATATATATATACTCGCAGATCACGTGCGCGAGTGCGAGGGAAAATAAACCTTTCATCAAAGGTCAAACGTGCTCCTTGCTTCCTGTGAGCGCGAAGGGTGTACATTATGTTGGGGGACTGCAACAATATTACCCCATGAAATAGTACTACTGCTGTTTGAAAAACTGTTAGCTCCAATAAAGCAAGTACTGCAACTGTCTCTGAAGTTGAATCGACGTCTCTAATCCTCTTCGTATTTTTACTCCACTGTTTCTGCCTCCTTCACCACCTCACCTTCCCCCTCCTCCCCCTCCTCACCTCCACTGTTAACAAGTACTTTGCTCTCTGTCTTTGTGTCCCCAACTATATCCTGTTGTTGATCCTGTTGTTGTTGTTGTGTGCTCCGTTGCCATGCCGGTATTCCTCTAGCTGGGTGACTAGTGGTCGGAGTGGGAAATTGATGTCTACAAAATCAGAAAATTATAACAGAAGCAGCTTGACACTTAAAGGAAGAGAGAGAGTTGACATCTAAAATGTGAGTATGGGAATGTAGGGGAGAATACCCAGAGGAGCTTAAACTAAAAAGAACATCTGAATCACCAACAACACTGTCATACTTAGATATACATATAACTATAACAAATGGGAAATATTCCACGGCAGTATATGATAAACGGGATGATTTTAACTTCAAAATTGTAAATTTTCCATATCTAAGTTCCAATATTCCATCTGGACCAGCATACGGAGTTTATATTTCCCAATTAGTACGTATAGGTAGAATATGTAGTGATTACTCGGATTTTACGTTGAGACATTTCAAACTAACGGAGCGACTGATTCATCAAGGATTACAGATACTCTGATTTGTGCAGGTCACTTTATAAGTTTGCTAAAAAGCACGCACAAATTATGATTAAATATAGCATCGCATACGCAACACATGTGGAGATGGTATCATGTCTCTGCAGCATGGATAGAATCCTCAGTCGCCATGGTGTCGCATAGATAGATATATATTATCGTCACATATTTATTTGAATAATCTATTTTAACATTTCTAGTTTCTACCATTGCTCACTATATATTTATATATTATATTTTTCTGACACGTGTATATTGCCGTGTGCGTGATGAAAAGTAATCGACAGACCTATGAATCTATATTTAGGAGTTGCTATATCGATATTTCGTACACGTGATATGCTGTGCGTTATTAGAATAATCGCACGTTTTTTATGGCTCCGTCGTGTCGCGTGACTGCGTGCGTTTCAGAGTGTTTAGATGTTTGCTATGAGGTAATTGGTCTTTGAGGCTTCTATGTTTTTCTACAGGAGCTGTTGTTTTTATCTGTAGCTGTCGGTTTTGTACAGGATTTCTATCTATGTATTTATAACTGATGTGGAAGGCGAGGTTGGGACACGGGGGTGTAGCGAGGGGAAGAGGTGGGCCCATAAAAGACTCTTTAACCTACCGCCCCGGTTCTCAAGGCTGGGCACCCAGGGTCCTGCCTCTTTCTTTCTGTTTATATGTTATTGTCTGTGTTTTTGTACGCTTGGGTATGTTATTGTCTGTGTTTTGTGTGCTTGGGTGGGGGAGGTTCTTTCTTTTCCTCTGAGCTAGTATGCTATAAACATATTTTTTCATACATATAATATGCATAACTTATTGTTAGTACATGGAGGGAAGGACAGGCCAACTAACCATCCTGAATACAATGACTATAGCTTGAGAATGCAGTGCAATCAGTAACAGTGGTGGTTGCAAAGGTCTCAATGAATGCTCGCGAAGATTTTAATAACTCCTGCTAAAATGTGATGCTAAGAAACCAGACCTGTTGAGTAGGAGTCCTTTCAGAGAAGCCACTTCGTCTCTAATTTCGTTTACAGCTAACCCTGAACCGGGGACACTGACCTGCCGGATAAAGAACAAGCAGAGAGAGAGAGAGAAAGGAAGTGTGTGTGGTTATCCATACACCAATGGGACAGAATAATTAATGTCCATATTAGTGGGGTGTCCTTATTTCAGGAGAGGATTCGTGAAAATTTACCTGAAGTGCAGTAACTTTTGCAGCAATGGCTTGCATCTCCTCGCGTTGCTCTGTTAGAATATCCTACGTTATGTAAAGAGGAAAATTACTCATTTGTAAGATGAAAAAACAACAAAAGTACAAAGTTAGGTGCTACACTCACTCTAATGGAAGCAGTAGTTTCTCTGATTCCAGAAACTATCAAGACAAGCGAGAAACAAAACTGGGGTGAAATACTGGGTGGGGAAACCAGTACTTTACCGGTTGTGTCCAGGTTGGTCTGGAGCTGTCTCACAGCCTCGCTCGTCTCCTCCGCCCTCTCGCTCTGCTCCAGTCGCCAGCTCAACCACGGAATGGCATAGCCCTGTGCAGAACAACACCAGAAAAATCACTCGGAACAGTAACAGAACGGGCTTCAGGGGAAAACATTTAGCTCTGTCAGGAGAGGGAACACTGCAGAAAGCAATCCTCAAAAGTAGCTCAAATGCACCGAGGAACATTTGCTTCACCAAAGATTATTGACAGATTGACAGGACAAATTGTCACGGGTACATAACAATGTGCACTACCATAGGCTACAATATCAATTTAGCAAGAAAAAATAGCACAAAAGTATATACACCTTGGAAATCTAGTAAACATAATATACAACTCGTCAACAGGGCTGCAAACCTTGAAGAATTTGTAGAGGGCGTAGCTAATCCCGCCAACGACGGCTACAACTAGCGCATAGTCTCTCCAGGTTCTGTGATGAGGAGGTGGGAGTGTGTGAGTGGTGAAGGGAGAGAGTTGTGAGGGTGTGCTAGGGGGAAGAGGAGAGGTGTGGTGGTGGGTTGGTGGTGACAGTTGAGAAAGTCTGACTGCTTCTTCGATCTCTGAATCACTCAAACCTGAGCATCATCGGGGAAAATATTGCAGCTTTCCTACACAAGCTACACTAGCCTTTCTTTTGCAGGAAGACTTTCTTTTGCTCAAGAGGGCTGCCTATCACCCGAGGATTGTTGAGAAATTTCACCGCCACGTCAACCTGAGGAACTGTAAACAGTAGCCGTGAAAGAGTGAGTCTACTGCTTACCAGGTTCTCTCTAAGGTGCTCTGAGGCTTCCTTTACTTCTGCCGCGCTTTCTACAGCCTCCTGAGACGAGTTCTCCGGACTAGACGCCATGTTGGTTCCCAGTTACGCGCATGCGCGGCTCCGGGACCAACATGGCGTCTAGTAGTCGGGAGAACTCGTCTCAGGGTGATAGGCAGCCCTCAGATTCCCAACAATTGTGCGTGGGTATGTTTCAGATATTTTTTCAATGGCACAGCAAAAACGCTGGTGATTTATGGTGAATTTAGGTATATTTCTCGGATTTTTCCTACCTTGTTTTCCGAACTCATTAGCATATTCATATTCCTCCTCAATACATTCTCTATGGGAGAGAAAACTCGTGCGCGACTCACACCCAGGAGGGAACGGTCCGTCGCCATTATTATGCGCAATGGCGTTCTTTCTGCCTCCTGCAGCACGCGCAGGCGTATTAGAGCCATTCCGAAAAATAGGCGTGGCCAAATTTTGAGCATTACGTTTTCACGTTGACCTTTGCCACCCGGTCACGCCCGTTTTTTTCTATAGCGCAAAATTAGCTTCCCGCGTACCGAAGCAGGCAAAGAAAGCCACTGCGCATAATGGAGACGGACCGTTCGCTCCTGGGTGAGTCGCGCACGAATTTTCTCTCCCATAGAGAATGTATTGAGGAGGAATATGAATATGCTAACGAGTTTGGAAAACAAGGTAGGAAAAATCCGAGAAATAATTATACCTAAATTCACCATAAATCACCAGCGTTTTTGCTGTGCCATTGAAAAAAATATCTGAAACATACGCCCACGCACAATCGTTGCTAACCTTGAGCAAAAGAAAGGCTAGTGTAGCTTGTGTAGGAAAACTGCAATATTTTCCCCCGATGATATGACTTCAGATATTGATTCATGCACATGTGAGATAAATCCCCCATTATGATACTGCACTGGTATAATTATAATCACTTATTATCCCAGTGAGATTATAATACTCCGATGTTTCTGATTACTCCTTTTTGCTAATATGCATAGTGTGGATGCCTATAAACCACCTCTTCAAGATATTATTGTCATTGCTCTTAATTTTTGTGGTGGATAATTGATTTTTCTTGAATTTAGCCCAGTTGTTATCATACACCTATATAGTTTCGACAAACACTTGGCTTAATTGCTTGCTTGATGCCAATAATAATATTAACGCATCATGCACAGCTGTCTGTCAGATTCACAGACTGTGTATAACAGTTAGGTTATATGCACTGGTGTGCATAATTCATATTCGAAACAAACGTGTACAATAGCTACGTACGTACTAGAACAAACGTGGGTTTCAGTTATTATCTGGTACTGTATTATAGTAAGAGCAATGAAAAAATTGTGATGTTCAAATTCTTAGATTTTTTTAGAGATCAAGTTGAGCGTCGTCTTCAGTAGGCTCCGCACTGTACAGTGGTTCATCAGCATCTCCATCTTGGAGGGAGGGGGAGAGGGGAGGGAGGGGGAGAGAGGATGGAGGGGGAGAGGGGATGGAGAAGGAAGGCAGAGTATAATATATACAATACCAGCTTCAAACTATAGCCAAATGCTAAAATTATGTGCAGTGGCCTGGAGTTAAAAAAACTCAGAATCTAGTGGCCCTCCTCCTGCTCACTTGTCTAACAATGCTTATTGATACTTCTCTCAAAGTTTTTTCACAAGTCTTAAAGATTTGGTCCCCTTGGCAAAGCTGAAAGGCTAAAGACAGACAGAGACAGGGTGCTATAGTAGACACCTTCATCAGCGAAGAGTTCGATCCTGTCGTCTGCTCTTCTCATTCTGATGTTACTGTAGCCCGTCTTGCTGTATCGTGACCTGAGGGAAAAAGGAGAAGAGGAAAGGAGGGGGGAAGATGATGTAAGAGCAAACTACAGCCCCTCAGAAATAGTTAGAAAGTAAACAAACGTAGAGGTTGTTTGGAATATTTTTGTACGTCCATCATTCCACCAAATCACCAACTGTCCTGAATGTGAGAAGAAACTTACGACATTTTCCAGAAGATAATTGCCGTGGCAACGACGATGAGAAGAATAACAAGTATACCTCCAATGACACCGCCCACAATTGCACCGACGTTTGATGCATTGTCTGCAGGAAAGATTACAGCGGGTTGGGAGGAAAAGGGTTAAAACATGCCAGGAAAGCAGAGGGTTAAATCGTGCTAGTAAAATGTGCCTGGAAAGCAGAGAGTTAAACATAAAGAAGGGATGTATGTATTATCTCTGTGGAAGGGGGCAAGCCCCAATAATAGAGAAAAAATGCCTGTTGTCGTCATGGAAATGAGTATTGCCAAGAAGATAAGGGGCATTGGCAAGAGAGAGTTGTATGTAAGATTATGAAACATGCAGATTGGAACAAACGATCACATAAGAGCTATAATTATTGGCGAGCGGGAGCGAGCCAACCTAGTCGTTCGTTCGAGCGGAATTTTCATATTATACATACGTCGTACGTCGTGTAAGTGCGCATGCGCGGCTTTGTACGCGCTTCTTTTTATTTTTACACATTTTCACACACGATGCCTCGCGATATGCGCCGCCGGCTAGAGAACTCTCCTCCATTCGACAGCATGCGCTGCAACCTTCGGTGCCTGACCGAGGCTGTATACCTCTTCCCAATCTTCGTGGTTCCAAGGTGCAACTTGCAAATACGCTGGGATTGCTCGTGCACATACTGCTGCATGCCAGCTGCCTGGTGGACCACGACTGACGAGCTGAAAGCGTAAGGTAAGTACCGTTCTGCTCACCTGCTCACCGTTCTGCCAATGTACAATACGCATGTAACGGCGACAGGTAGATGTGTCTTGCTTCGCGAAAGGAAAGCTGTGCGCTGACGGCACGATATGCATCGCGGACAAATCCCAAGTTGGGTCGCTCCCGCTCGCCAACAATGTTCAACATTCTTCTAGTATAAATTTGGCTAACATTATTGCAATGGGCTCTATAAAAATGAAGTTCCACGTGTAGTGTGTAACTAGGTTACACGGACGTCGCACGTGGCACGCGCGCACCGGTTGCCACGCGCGCCCCCGGCCGGCCCCATACGCGCGCCTCATCATATCATCGATCATGCATGCACGTCATGTCATTTGCATGAGAGCCAGCGCAGCGCAGCCGCGACGCGCACGCGGCGTGCCATATATATATACGGCCGCCGCGCCGCCAGCATGCAGCAGCGGGCGCCGTGGCGGCCATAAATAGCGCGCGAAGTTCGAATCCAGTACAGCAGCAGTCAGCAAAGCATCGCCGCCGCACGATTTTCTCAGTCAGAAGTTTCGTTCTCCCGCCCACCCTGACCCCGCTGTTGTGCTCTTCTCCGCCGGGGTATTTTTGATATGTCGGGAGTAGTCTGTTAACATCACTACTGGCAGGGGAGCATTTATGGCCAAAGGCCACTAATTTACGGACCTCCAAGCGCATGGGAGTACAAATACCACCCGACAGCCTTAGTCATGGGGGGTTGGCCTTTGGACGCGGAGGCCCGGCAGTGTGTTAGGTACACATGCGCAGAAAATACTTATCATTGCCTGGGCGGCGCATGCTCCCGACTACCTCCATCTGTTCAATTTTAGGCACTAGCTAGAAAAGCACGCCTGGCAGAGCTACGTGAGAGACCACTACCATTGGAGGACTTCTACCCCTATGGTCCAGATGTTGGAGATTTTCCAATACACCCGGCCCCGTGTTAAATGTGACTGTCCATGCGAAAAAGTGGTATAAGTCGGCAAAATGGATTTTTAGTGAAATCTCGAAAAAAAAATTGCCGACTTATACTGCTTTTTCGCGTGGACGGTCACAAATTTTAGCCTTCCCAGAGTCACTGACCGTCCTTCTGTGATTGAAAGCTGGGTGGACTACTGCAGCTTGGCGGGCTGTTGCTCCATGTGCCGTCTTCCCGACACGTGATTTGCTTGTCTCCGTCGAGAGTGTAGCCATCTTCACAGGAGAACATGACTACTGCGTGCACCGAGTTGTTGCCCGACGAAGACGTCACGTGGCTCGATAGTGTCAGTTTGGGGCAAGCTGGAGATGAGGGGAGGAAGAAGAAAGATTGTTGCTATAATTATTGTGTCGAGAGACGAGAGAGAAAATGAGTAGACATGAAAAGTAGAGACAATTTCGGCGACAAAGATCTTTCGTGAATTTCATGGTAACTGTGAAGTATTTTTTCGTGTATACTCACTGGTTTTTAGTGTGCCACGCCCGGCAACTAGTGTTTTTAGTGTGCCACACCCGGCAACTAGTGTTTTTAGTGTGCCACGCCTGGCAACTAGTGGTTTTAGTGTGCCGCGCTCGACAACTAGTGTTTTTTAGTGTGCCACACCCGGCAACTAGTGTTTTTAGTGTGCCACGCCCGGCAACTAGTGGTTTTAGTGTGCCGCGCTCGACAACTAGTGTTTTTTAGTGTGCCACGCCCAGCAACTAGTGTTTTAGTGTGCACGCCCGGCAAATAGTGTTTGCGAAAAGTTCGTGGTACACACAACAGTTTTTTTTATTGTGACGTTTTCAGTATAGAGAGGGAGAAGAAGAAAGGAGAGAGGGAGAGAAGAAGAAAGGAGAGGGAGAAGACGACGAGGAGGGAAAGATGAAAACCTGACTTACTTGGCTTTGTACAGGATGGTGCTGATTCGTTCCAGACACCGGTACTGAGACATGCGATGACTCTGTCTCCATTCAGTGTGTAGCCTTGGTCACAGGAGAATGAAACTACTGTGTTGATGGAGGTGTCTTGGGAGGAGACTAGCACGTGATCTGACACGGTAAGCCTTGTGCAGTTAGCTGGAGGTAGGGAGGGAGGGAGGGTTTGTAAAGGAGAAAAGCAAAAGAATAATAGAGGAGCAGTAGAGAAGCAAAGAGGAAGGAGGGAGAGAGAAAGGGGGCAGAGAAAGGGGGCTAGGGGAAAATGGATTTTGCCCCTTGAACAAGAGAGAGAATAGTGTAAGAACTAGCTTGTTGTTCCGTCCTAACCATTATTTCTGAAAGACCCACAGTTGCTCTCACAAAAGTAACGCGAAGAAAGGGAGGAAAGGAGTGAGGATTAAAGGAGTGGGAGGAGGAGGAAGGTAAGAGGAAAAGAGAAAAAACGCACTTGGAGCTGTGCAGGATGGCGCGGTTCCATTCCAGACACCGGTACTGAGACACGCGAGGGCTCTGCCCCTATTCAGTGTGTAGCCTTGCTCACAGAAGAATGAAACTACAGCTTTGATGGAGGTGTCTTGGGATGAGACCAGCACGTGATCCGACAGCGCCAGTCTTGGGCAGTTGGCTGGAGACATGGAGGGAGGGTTTGTAAAGGAGAAAAGCAAAAGAATAATAGAAGAACAGTAGAGAAGCAAAGAGGAAGGAGGGAGAGAGAAAGGGGGCTAGGGGAAATGGATTTTGCCCCTTGAACAAGAGAGAGAATAGTGTAAGAACTAGCTTGTTGTTCCCTCCCAACCATTATTTCTGAAAGACCCACAGTTGCTCTCACAAAAGTAACGTGAAGAAATGGAGGAAAAGAATGAGGATTAAAGGAGTGAGAGGAGGAGGAATGTAAGAGGAAAAGAGAATAAACGCACTAGGGGCTGTGCAGGATGGCGCGGTTTCGTTCCAGACACCGGTACTGAGACACGCGATGACTCTGTCTCCATTCAGTGTGTAGCCTTGGTCACAGGAGAATGAAACTACTGTGTTGATGGAGGTGTCTTGGGATGTGACCAGCACGTGATCTGACACGGTAAGCCTTGGGCAGTTAGCTGGAGGTAGGGAGGGAGGGAGGGTTTGTAAAGGAGAAAAGCAAAAGAACATCAGAAGAGCAGTAGAGAAGCAAAGAGGAAGGAGGGAGAGAGAAAGGGTAGGGGGAAATGGATTTTGCCCCTTGAACAAGAGAGAGAATAGTGTAAGAACTAGCTTGTTGTTCCCTCCCACACATATTTCTGAAAGACCCACAGTTGCTTTCACAAAAGTAACGTGAAGAAAAGAATGAGGATTAAGGAAGGTAAGAGGAAAAGAAAATAGACGCACTTGGAGCTGTGCAGGATGGCGCGGTTCCATTCCAGACACCGGTACTGAGACACGCGAGGGCTCTGTCTCCATTCAGTGTGTAGCCTTGGTCACAGGAGAATGAAACTACTGTGTTGATGGAGGTGTCTTGGGATGTGACCAGCACGTGATCCGACAGAGCCAGTCTTTGGCAGTTAGCTGGAGGTAGGGAGGGAGGGAGGGTTTGTAAAGGAGAAAAGCAAAAGAATAATAGAGGAGCAGTAGAGAAGCAAAGAGGAAGGAGGGAGAGAGAAAGGGTAGGGGAAAATGGATTTTGCCCCTTGAACAAGAGAGAGAATAGTGTCAGAACTAGCTTGTTGTTCCCTCCCACACATATCTCTGAAAGACCCACAGTTGCTCTCACAAAAGTAACGTGAAGAAATGGAGGAAAAGAATGAGGATTAAAGGAGGGAGAGGAGGAGGAAGGTAAGAGGAAAAGAGAATAAACGCACTAGGAGCTGTGCAGGATGGCACGGTTCCATTCCAGACACCGGTACTGAGACACGCGATGACTCTGTCTCCATTCAGTGTGTAGCCTTGGTCACAGGAGAATGAAACTACTGTGTTGATGGAGGTGTCTTGGGATGTGACCAACACGTGATCCGACAGAGCCAGTCTTGGGCAGTTAGCTGGAGACAGGGAGGGAGGGTAGCAAGTATATGTATAGGTCAGATCACTGGAACGAGTCACTACGAGGTTTGAATAACCCGAGGAGGAGGGAACTGGCAGTTTCGCTTAGTCTTTTCGATAGTGTGCGAGACCCGTTACCCAGTTGGCTCTGCTTGCCAGAATTTAGGCTGGGAAACGGCGACGAGTGGGAAGGCCCATTTGCTCATAGCTTCGAAACTGCCTCCGAGCAGGACGAGTGAGTTCATCGTACAAGCATCGCAGCAACTGGACGGATATATCCTGCTAGCCCCGCCGGAGCAAGACACTGCCACTGGAGCGCTCAGCCCGCATCGCTTGATATGGACGATTTGTTGTTTGTCGCTAGTCAGGCGTTGAAATCAGCTACAGGGAACGAGAACGCTCTGCCGGGAAACGCCTGACTAGCGACCAACAACAAATCGTCCAAGCGACGCGGGCTGAGCGCTGCGATACTTGTATAATGAACTCGTCCTGCTCGGCGGCAGTCTCGAAGCTAGGAGCAAATGGGCCTTCCCACTCCTCGATTATTATGAATTTGACCTTTGTGAAACCTGTGATCTAAATTCTTCACAGTGATCTAAACTTGCAACTTAGAGACTTAGGACTTAGATACCTGGCAGACCCAGTACTACGGGTTTTAGACACTTGATTACTACACTCAACATCAAAGGGAATTATTCATGAGAGGTTCTAAGCACACAGTTTGTGGAGGAGGGAAGAGAGAGGAGAGGGAGAAAAGGAAATGCGGGGTTGTTCTCCAAGGGGGCCCTGAAAATTATTCCAAGGGGCCCTGAAAATTGTTCCAAGGGGCCCTGAAAAATTATCCAAGAGGGGCCTGAAAATCGATTTTGCTTCCCCACCATCCGATTTGTGTCAGCTGACATAAAACGCGGGAGACGGAGATTAAAGGAGGAAGGAGTGAGGGAGAGGAGGAGGAAGGAGATAATTAATAGACGAACTAGGGGCTGCCCCTGTGCAGACTGGCACTGTTCCGTTCCAGGCCCCGGAATCGAGACACGAGATGACGGCATTGCCCATAATGTGGGAGGAGTCAGGGCAGCTGAAACTGAGCGTGGTACCGACTGTCGTACCAGATCCTCGGAGGACGGTAACTCTGACGTTGGCAGTGACGTTGGAGGAGTATGATGGACAGAGAACTGCAAGAGAGAGAGAGAGAGAGAGAGAGAGGGAGAGAGAGGAGGGAAATACGCATAGCAACAAATTCGGTGGACTAAAAACAGCTGCAATGAGCGTATAAAAATTACATTAGAAGCATGAGGGGCTTTACTTTACCTTTGCGATATTCTAGTAAACTTTGTGATAATCTAGTAATCTTTCAGTAATCTTGTGTTATGCTATATACTACAGATTATTCCATGGACAAAGTGTTTCAAATTGAAGCACATTGCAACAGAGAAGTTGCCTCACTATTTTAGCACAAGTTTAGTACATGTTTGTAAACAACAACAAACGGCCTCAGGCGTATTTCCCCTTCCTCACTTACCGATTTCACAGCTCCCGAGAGTGGAGTTCCACTGCCCGTCAAACCCGCACACGACGCTACGATCGCCGCTACTTGCAGCGTTGTATTTGTAGCCTCGGTTGCAGATGAGGGTCACGGTGAGGCCAGGGGTCGTTTCCATGGTGCTCAAACTGCTATGATCAGGTGGCGTCAGCAGAGGGCAGCTTGCTGAAGGAGATGAGGGCAAACGTGAGCTGATGAGGCAAACAACATGACCACATCCAGCTATATAGTAAATGCAATAATTCTCTCCAACTTTTTCTGCCCACCCTGGTTAAGTCCTATTTGCAAACCACACAAACATTATTGTGTGGTCCTCTGAACGAGATTTCACTATATAATCATTCGGAAGCTGAAACACAATCTTGTCAAACCGGTTTCTAAAACCAGTCATACCGGAGCAGGCAGGCATGTGAGGCGACCAGGTGCCAGCCGCCAAACACACGACGTTAGCGGCGCCCTCGGTCGGCTGGTAACCATCGTCGCAGGCCACGACGACACGAGTGTCTTGTGTGTACCGTCCGAAGTGTTGGTTGGAGACTCGGAACCTTCCGTGTGCCTGTGAGAAGTCTGGACACACGGCCATCACTAGAGGGGAGAGAGAGAGAGAGAGAGAGAGAGAGAGAGAGAGCGCGAGAGCAAAATATAGCCACACATATCACTGAGCCTCATGCACGAGTTGTGCGGTGTATGTATATGCACCATACATTGGAACTACTGAGTACATTATACACAACTAATCATTTCTCTCTTTCTCCCTCTTTTTCGATCCAAGAAAAAGGAAGATGGAGAGAGGAGCATAGAAAGGGTAGGGAGCAGAGAAGAAGAATGCAATTACTGGAGCAAACGGCGCTGGCATCCTCCGAGTGACGACAATTGTGAACCTTGACCCCTGCGTGGGAGCAGTCGAGGAGGGAGCTCTCGTCTCCGGCACAGAGGAAGTCGTCAAACCAGATGACGCCGAGTCCGTCGCCGAAGGACGCCTCTCGAGGAGCCGACTGGGCCGACTTGAAGTTCAGCATCCGACACACCACGTCTGCATCTCGGATGTCCCAGCTAGTGGGGTATGAGGTAATGGGGTGGGCTAAAAATAGCTTCCATACAAGTGCCACACATACGGACTAATTCCCAAAACACTCCTAAAGCACACATTCACATAATTTCATTCTCAATACTCCCATACTTCCATTCCTGTGCATCTATGAACTCATTCTCGCACATCCGTACACCATATTACATACTTCCATACACTCATTCCCATACATCCGTATACCCATTCCCATATTACATACTTCCATACACTCATTCCCATACATCCGTACACCCATTCCCATATTACATACTTCCATACACTCATTCCCACACATCTGTACACCCATTCCCATATTACATACTTCCATACACCCATACTGTGGTACCTGTCGTCACAGATTGTTCCCCACTCCTCATCGTTATAGTTGACCTCCACTCGCCCCGAGGACGTGTTGTCTCCATTCACCAGACGAATGTTAAGAGTGTTGGCTGTGTGTGTGTGTGTGTGTATGTGTGTGGGGCATACTATGATGTAATCCGTGAGTTCATATTATTATAGGGCGAGCTTTGCCCAGCCATAGACACTATACACTAAACAGCCACTGTTCCTGGTATAAACCAAAAATCGGGACACTTCACATTTCGCACAATATACAGACAATTGGCTAGATACTCTATTTGATGCATTCATGTGCATGTAAGCAAGTAATATTATATAGTTGTAAAAACCACCCATGCAGCTAAAAGACCCCTCCCTCCTCTTTCTCCGCCCTCCCTCCCTCTCTCTCTCACGCAGGCAGCGAAGTCCGACGTCCTCGTAGTGGGCACAGTTGTTCTCGCCGATGTCGCCATGGTTACAGTCCTGTATGAAGAACTCCTCCCCAGTACAGACGACGTCGTCCAACCAGATGTGTCCCGAGCCCAGACCATAGTCACTGGAATGGAAACACCAGCGTATAGCAGTATCAATAAATTTTTCACGCAATGTCTGGAGCCTGAATAAAGAATTTACTGGCTGCACCTAAATGCATACACTGTTTATGGACCATAAATTTTACACCTGGTTGAAACTTTCGAGGGAAAAAAATGTAATTTCGCGGAAAAAAATTTCACGGACGGTTCATAAACTTCGAAATCCACTACACCTTTCTCCCTCGAAAGTTTGAATATTGTATGTTTTTGTTGCAGAGACTGAGATGGAGGTTTACAAGTCATGTGACAGTCACATGACTCACTGGAGGAGGTATTTGTCCCTATCGGCTCCGGGGAACCCCAGGGACTTGCAGACGACGCTGGCTTCGTCTAACCCCCACCGATCGTCGCAAACCGTCCCCCATTCGTTGTTGTAGTAGATCTGGAGCCGGCCTTCGTTGATGGACGGTCCGTCGATCAGCTGGACAGGGTTGGGGTTAACTGGGATGGCTTTGGAAGATGTGGGGGGCGGGAGCGAGGGGTGAGGGGAGGGAACAAGAGAGAGAGAGAGAAAGGGTTAAGTTCGGAAGCGAGCGATGCTATAGTGCACATACCAGCAATGCATATTTTGCAAGAAAACTACCCGTGTCAGAACTTATTATATCCCACATTACAACAACATACCGGTACATATGGCTGAGGCGTCCTCGGAATGGAGGCAGTTGTGGTTACCCCAGCCTGAGTTGGGGCAGGCAAAGATTGTCGTCTCCGTTCCATCGCACTGTACATCATCCAGCCATATCTGAGAGAGGCAGAGTAAACAGGGAAGGATGAAAATAGAAGGGGACAGAGGTAGGGCATAAAAACAAAAATGGGAAAGAGATAGTAATGAATTATGGAAGAAAAAAAGTTAAAAAAACTGATCAACAAATTCACACACTGAACTGAATCTTCAACGAGATGCAGCTTTTTTTCCTTTTTCTTCTTCTTGTTCTTGTAAACTATGCAGCTTTTTTTCTTCGAAAGTAAGATTGTTCTGAGTATCTTCGAATTGCATTTGCCTTGCTTTTAGACCTTAGACCTCATTATTTTATATTAAGGGACCGTGGTAGTATAAAAAGGCTAAATTCTAAAAATGGTTAATAATTCACTGGGCCCTATGTCTACCTTTAATAAATTTAGCCCTTATGTTCCATCATAAACTCTTTAAACTTACAGTTCCACTGCCTTCTCCAAAGGTGGCGAAACCGGATGCACTGATGGCGTGGGCAAAACCAAGCTCTTGACAGACAATGTTGGCGTCGATTTCACTCCAGTGGTCGTCGCAAACTGTCCCCCAGGATCCGCGGTGAAACACTTCGACTCTGCCTTCTCCTTCAGTGTTACCATTGACCAGTCTCACCAGTGGGTGGGACACTGAGGAGCGTGCGTGTGTGTGTGTGTGTGTGTGTTTGTGCGTGGGAGGGTTTAAGAAAAGGGAGAGGTAAGGTGAAAAGAAGAGAGGAGAACTGTATAAGTGGTCTATATTATTGTGTGTAGTCCGTTCACTCTCTGCTCATGGGTTGTTTAAAACCCAAACGTCGTTACAAAAATTGCCTCTTGAAAATCAGTGTTTTACTTGGGCTAAAGGTTGAACTTATTTAGACGTCGTGCTCAAATTGACCAATCAGATTGCGTAAAACGTGGATTCTAAATCATGTATTTCCATTGACGCGCAGTATAACCTATATTTTTAACATTTGTGGCACCTATTAGTTCGCTAAAAGAGTTATTGGTTATGGAGTAAACAAAAGTGTTGACCAAGAATAGTAATCCCTCAATCCACTCCACAACAGTTGTTCTCCCATCACTCACGGTAGCATCGGACTCCCGCATCCTCCAGATGAACACAGTTGTGGACCCCGAATCGCGACGTGAGACACGACGTAATGATGTTCTCGCTTCCGAAACAATCAACGTCGTCCAACCAGATTGGCTGGTCGGGATCTCCGGCTCCGAAATATCCGTTAGAGAGGGCTTCAATGGCTGACTCGAAGCCCAGATATCGGCATACGACCTTATGTACGTGAGGGAGGGAGGGAGGGAGGGAGAGATGGAGGGAGGGAGGGAGGGAAGGAGGGAAGGAGAGAGGGAGAGATGGAGAAAGAGAGAGAGAGCAATGGAGGAAGGGCAGGGGAGACAAAACGAAGAAAGGGGAGTGAAGGAAGAAAAGAGAAGAAAAGACACAGGAACAAAGTTAAACCACTAAACATGATGAGATTTCCACTTTGTATAAGTCCCCCATATTCCACTTTAGAACAGCTCCCTCCCTGTTCAACCCCTCATGGGGGAATTTTGAGACCCCTGACCTCAGCGTCTCGGAAGTCCCACGAGTCATCACAGATCGTTCCCCACGTGTTGTTGAAGAAGATCTCCACACGTCCCTCGGTGGCGTTGACCCCGCCCACCAGTCGGAGGTCCGTCACCGGAGACGGTGTGATGTGGTCTGGGATTACATAATCATTACATCATACCAAAAATGCATCTAGTGAGGGTTG